TTGGGTGAACGAGCCCCAGGGGTCCCGCAGTGAGTGACCCCAGGTCAGGTGTCCCACGCAGGGATAACAGCGGGGACCCCTGGCAGGAGAGGCAGGGTCTGTGTGTGAGGTGGGTGCCCTGTGCAGAGTTCCCTGTTGGGGAAGGACCTCCCGCCTCCCTGGGACTGGGCTCCAGGCAGGTCTGGCTTTTGTAAACACGGGATCTGTGGAGATTCAGTGTGTGGCTCCTTGGTCTGATGTGTTTGGCTTGTTGACCTGGTTGTCTCCTATCCCTTCTATGGGAGACTGCATGTCACTGGGTATTGCAGCCGTTGCTGGTTGTGCAGTGTCGTTGTTGGGATCATTGGAGTTGATATCAATTATGTATAACCTGACTGACTTGTACCCCCAGCGATCACCCATGGACTGACCCTTTTGTGTCAAATGCAGTTTGGTTGTTGGTTCATCTTGATGCTGGCTGCGTCCTTCATGCTAGGCCTGATAATTGGCAAAACACCAGGATGCCCCATTGGCAATTTCCTCTTATTTTATCTGATCCCATTTATGTTATTTCCCAGATCTGGCTATTGGTGTAGCACTGTAGCGCTACCTGGGAAGCAGCGGGCTGCCTCCCCAGGATTTGTGCATAGAAATGGTGGTCTCACACTCTCTGTGGTCACAGAAATACTGAACTTGAATGAAACATGTTTTTTCTCTAACTTTATTCTGGAAAACAGCTTAACTGAGCTAATTATATACCTCTCTGTTGGTAAAGAATAAGAAGCTGAAGACTGCCTGGTGATGGGAGGCATTGGGCCGCTCCGCAGGTCCACGCTGCTGCTCCCACTGCCTGCGGTGGAGTTGCTGCGGTCGCTCTGCTTGCGGCCATGGTGCCCCAAGGCGGGTCCAAACCCGTCGTCTTTCGTCAGTGAAGCGCCAGCGGTGAGGCCGCTCCTGGGCCGTGTCTCCTGCCTCAGCTCATGCCTCTGCTGCACAAACACAGCTCTCAGTCCGGCTGGGCTGTGAGCCTGACCAGAGACACCATCTAGGTTGTGTTTTTTTTATTTTTCCTTTTTTTTTGGTCTCTTTCCTTGCTGTGCCTTAATTCAGGTTTGTTTGTAGGTGCAGCAAGGCTGTCACCTAAATCCTGGGCGTGGGATTCTTGTAATGCTGTAACATTACGCCTCAAGTGAATGGTCTTTTTCATTATCTATATTCTCAGTTTTCTTTGGCATTTTCGTTGTTCCCAGAGGTCTGGGACCTCAGTGGAGGAAGTGGGCCAGGAGGATCAGAAATCACCATACTGCCGTCCTACCCTCTCCCCATAGCGTTAAGGGTGTGAATTGCAGCAGCCTCTTAATGTGGGCTCCGAGCTGCACATCTGGAGCACACTGCAGAGCAGACGGGCAGCTACAGACTGATGGGAAGAGGGTATTTTTCTATGTAAAAATCAACTGGTTATTATAAAATTAGTTTTGAAGCATCGCTGTGGATTTGGTTCAAGACCTTGGATAGATGAACCTTCTTTGTTCATCTGGAAATGCGGGGTAGCAGTTGATTTCCCCCAGAGGAGACTGTGTGGAGCTGTTACTGCCTCGCGGTGCAGGGGCATGGTGCGGCCAACAGGCACCTGCAGCGTGCGGATCCCAGACCGAGGGTGCCTCCCTCTGCACCCTCCTTTTGCTCACAGACTTTCTATTCGGTTTCCTTTCTAAATATAAAAAGTACCATTGAAAGAGTGACAGAGTGTATCACCTTCCTACTGTCAAAAAAATGTTTTCAATTCCTGAACACCTAGAAAGCTAGAAATAGCAACAAGCCCAGTGCTGCTGGGGTCTCCCACTCCTTTTCAGCCTCCCCCGTTCCTTGGCCTCCTACCCCTTTTTGGCCTCTGCTTTTTTCTGGCCTCTACTTACCCCCCCCTTTTCGGCCTCCTGCGCCTTTTCAGCCTCCTATCCATCTCTGCCCTCCATTTTTTTTGGCCTCTACTTGCCTTCCAGCCTGAAACCCCTTTTTGGCCTCTGCTGTTTTCTGGCCTCCCAGCCCTTTCCAGCCTCCATTTTCTGTGGCCTCTACTTCCCCTCTGCATTGCAACAGCTTTTTGGCCTCTGAACCCTGTTTGGCCTCCAGTTTTTCCAGGCCTCCACCTGCCGCTGGGTGCTGCTGTCTGGGCACGATACGTTTCTGGGGTTGTAAACGGGAGTCTCTGGCAGAACTTCAGGCTAGTGCCTGGCGTGTGTCTGGTAGGAGCAGAGAAGTGGGGCGGCCGCGAGCCGCTGTGGCAGTGCCGAGGTGTGGGGTTTTCCCTTGGAGCGCGTGAGCGCTGCCCCGTCCCCGGGGCTCGGGGAGGCGCTGTCGGGGATGGGCCGGGGGGTCTCGGCCGTGCCTCCGCGTCCTGCTGCCGCCGGGCAGATTCTGGGTGGGACTGGCCGTGCCGATGGTTTGGTGGGGCCACGCGTGGAGCATCGTCTCTTGGGTCGGGCTGGCGTTGGGTGCTGCTGGGAGGACGAGGGGCGCAGGGACGCACAGGAGCGGAAGGAACAGGGTTAAATCTGCGCAATTGGGTGATGGTTGGGAAGAGGCATTTTGGGATGGCATCCTGGAGGCGGTTGCTGGAGTTGTCAAGTCCCGTCTGTGCTATTGCTGGCAGGCAGCTGTGATTTCCTTCAGTGTTTCTGTACTTCTGCAGTAGCTGAAGGGATACGGGAGCAGGAGGTGGATTTTGCTTTCAGTTACTTCTGAGGCGAGAGGGGATCTGGGGGAGAAATAGCAGCAAGCAGCGAGGGTCAGGGCAGTGTCTCGCCACCCGAAAAGGCAATGCTTGTGCCCTGCTGTGGTTGATGCCAGTTGCCCTCTTGCCTCGCTCTTAAGAGCATTGGTGCTGTGGGAATCGCTTATACTGTGCGTAGACATTCCCAGCACCTCCCGGGTGGGGGACTCAACCCTTTTTTACTCTGAGGGGTTTCTCCTTGCTCGTGTGCTCTGTCCCACAGCTGCGTTGGGTCTGTCCCCTGGCTGCTGCGGTCTCGGGGGATGTGAGGGAGCACCCGGGGACGGGCAGGGTGGTCGGGATGGGCCAGGCTCTGCACCCAGACGTCAGCAGGGGCATCACTCCTGGTGAATCCCTGCTCTTCTTGTCTTGCCTTACTGCCCTGCTGTCCCTGGGGTGCTGCAGGGGGAAACCTTGTGTGTTTATGGCTTTGTGTGTTCTCTCGTGCGTTCCTGTGGCGTTGGCATCTCCGCACGTGTCTGCGTGTGGCCGCAGACAGCCAGAGCGAGTGGGCCAAGCCGGCACGGGTGCAGTGGAGCTGTGCTGCGGTGGGGTTGTGCCCGAGCTCATTAGCTGCTGAGATGGAGTAACATTGCAGGGGGTAGTGCCCCCAAACAGCTATGTAATCTTAAATATGTGACCTGGATTGTTTATTATGGCATGGCTCCATGGTGCTGACTTCAGAAGAAATGTGCTGTATGTTTTAGGCTTGGTTCTGCAGACTTAGCCCACAGAGACTGAATTTGGTTTAAATCGGGCTCACAGCCCAGCATTAATTTGTCTCATCCTTGGAAGGTTTCGTCTTGGTGATATCTTCCGTCTGATTTCTTACCCCGGTCTCCTCAGCATGCCAGAGGAATAGCACAAATGAACTTGTGGGGCCCAAGTTTTGGGGGTTTGCAGGCTCCTCTGTAGAGGTGGTTCTGAAAGCATTAAGTTTTCCCCCTAGAAAATGAAATATTGACAAAATAAATATTATGCAAAATATGTGATGAAATTTTGTTTAGGAGGCCTTCGAATAGTCGGACATGTTTCTGCATCCTGTTTGGTATTTTCAGAATTTTTCTATTTTTGACTGGAAATCTTCAAAATGAAATTTGAAGTGAAGCACTTTGGAACTCATTTTGCTTCATAAAAAGTATAATTTTTCTGTGTCAAATTAGGGGAAAATGTTGAAACCTGAGTTTTTTCACTGGGTTTGCTCTGCTCAGACACGTTCAGCCAGCTGTGCCACCGGTGGCTCACAGGAGCCAGAGTGCGTCCCTGACCGTTGGCTGTGGTGTGACCAGTTGGTTAGAGCTCTTCCCAGAGACTTCCCCTCAGCTAATTGCGCGGTATTTCTGCTGCGTCAGACACTTCTCGAGTGCCTCTCCTAAAGCTGGCTACTGCAAGGTTTGATTAAAATAAACTCAAAAAAACCCAGCCAACCCGCAATCAATGGTCTGAAAATCTAGACTGGAAATGTGTGTGAGATGAGTGTTTTCACACTCGTCCATCCAAGTATTGCCTGCCTGGCGGAGTTGCAGTTTCTAGAGTCTAGAAATTTAATGGAATAACGTATTCATCAAGTAGAGCTATCCAAAAGAGAACGAAGGGACAAAACCCCGACACAATCAGCCAGGCAGACTTAAAGGAGAGTCTTTTGGGCACTCAGTCCTCTTGGGAGAACAAGATTTAGTCTTTGGCCGAGGACAGAAAGTTACACCAAGAGCGAAGCAGAGTTTCAGGGCAGGCGGCGTGGCGGTTGCGCCCTGCAGCAGCGGTGGGCGTGTGCGCCGCTCGCTCCTGCCGCCGGAGCGTTGTCAGGTCGGCGGGCGATGGGCCCTCGCAGCGAGTTTGGGACACGGGGCAGCGTGTGTGGCCTTGCGGCGGCGCGTGGAGAGGCCCAGGGCCGCATGCTTCACCGGTGCTGGGGCACAGCACCTTCCGCAGCTGGCGCCGGGCACGCGAGGTTCGGAGCCTCTCGATGCGCTGGTGCCGCCGCGGTGCGACGGGCAGAAAGGGCCTTGGCGGGACAGCAGGCGGTGGCCGGCAGCCCTGGACTGTTCCCATGGGCCGATCCGGCAATCCCAGGCTTGAGGAGAGGCACGGCAGGACCGTGGGTGCCCTGGCTTCTGGTGGGTGCTGCCCCGTGGCTCTCGAGGGGGTGCCTCGGGTCTCTGGAATGGGGATGTTCCTCTGGTGGCTTCTGTCTTCACCCTGGGTGTTAACACTGTGTGTTGTGTGTTTTCCTGGGGTGTCACGGCTGCAGGCAAATCTGAAGAAGTTCATGGAGTACGTGCAGATGCTAAATGCGGAGAAGGTCTGCAGGCTGCTGGAGAAGGGACTGGACCCCAACTTCCATGATCCGGATACTGGAGGTGAGACTGGCTTCTCCAGAGGGGGGAGGGTGACAAAGCAGCGCTGGGGGATAAGGTGTCTGGGGGTCACAGCGAGAATTTGGGGGAGTGGTTGTTTTTGAGGGGTGTAGCAAATGATATTTCATCTGAAGTGCGGGGTTCGGAACACAGGGGTGTAAACTGAACTTCTCAGTAGCGTGTCGTCTTATGATGCTTGGGTCTTGGGAGCATGGAATTACAGAAGGCTCTTGGGGGAGATGTGTGTGTGTGGGAAAGAGATGGGGTCTGGGAGTACAGTGTAAAACGGAAGAGCTGTGGGGCCGTGCATCTTTCAGTGGGATTCTGGGGAGGATGAGGCTGTCTCTGGGACCGGCAAGTTGGGTGAATGTGAACTGCGGCCCGAGGATCTCTTCATGAACCAGTCAGAAGATCGAAGAAGTGTTTTGGAGGTCAAGAAAATAAAATCTTGGCCTCTGGTTTCCTCGATTTTGTTTTTTCTTTTCTGTTTTCTTCATCTGTGTGAGCAAAATTCACCCCAGAGAAGTCTGGTCACGGAGCACTGGCTGTTGGGCTGTCTGCAGGCTCCTGGCAGATGGGGCTGTGAGGGAGGACCTCTCCCCATTTCCTCTGCTGTGAAGCCTCATAGTTTTGTTCTGAGAGAGGAGTTATGGCTTTTGTTGTTCCTGGTTTAATGCATCTTATTAATATTTATTAAAGAGTTGGACTTCTGTGTGTGAATCATGGGCACATTTCCAACCCATGAGCAGACTCCAATCTGATGATTAACTTTCTGTGTTTCTGGTTCAGTTGGGTGACTTTTTTTCAGGTTGTTTCTGAAATGCTGGCTACCTCTGTGCTTGGAAATTTTGTGTGTCCAGACCCTTTTTCAGCCCTGAGATCAGGTGTCAGAGCGTGCTGTCGTTCACACTATTAACCTCTCTTATATCCTCTCAGATAACGTGGCTGCCTCCGAGCTGCCCTTTGGGAACGGCCTCTGCCAGCTCCTCAACTGGGAAGGTGACAGCTGGTGCAGCCAAACTCTGGCAAGAACCATTTGAGCAGCGCCCAGGAATGTTTAATTTGCTGGTGTAGCCACAGTGAACCTACTAGAGCATCATGATGAACAACTGCTCATAAAAAATAGCTGATAGCATGCAAGCACAATCACTGCCTGCCCCGGGGCGGGTCCAAACAGCACAGCTCCATGTGGTTTTTTCGTTTTTGCCCAAGACTGTACAAGCACTTGGAGGGATCTTTCTTTATAAAGAAAGTCCTCCACTCTTCTACAGCCGATCCAGCTTTCCAGGGTGTATTGCATTGCAGAATGCAGTGTGCTGCTTGAAAAGATGCTGTGAGTTTAGGATCTGATAGGGTTTGAACCCAGATGTTATTTTACTGAAGGGTAGAGGTTTAGGGGAGCAGGCTCTTGCATACTGGAAAGATTTGTTAGATACAGAGGGGGAGGAAGGAAAAACACCTGACCCAGAGAGTCGTTTGGATCTGGTTCAGAACCGAGGGCAAAACCAGAGTGGGTGCTGTGAGATGTGCCGGTAGGCTGTGGAGAGGACGGGGTCTTGGACACCTCACTTCTGGAGTTCTAATTCTTGTGCAGGATCACTTCATTACTGCTTGCTTTACAATCTGTTTTGTGAATATGTAAGAATGGCATAAAACTGCTGTTCAGTATTCATGGGCTCCTGGAATTTAAGACCAGATGGAGCTATTGTACCGTCCACCGCGACCTCCTGTGTCTTGCAGGATGCTCTTCACCCTCCCTGTGTGTGTGTGTTCCCTAAGCAAAGCTTAAATATGTTTTCCAGAAAGTCATCAATCTTGATTCAGGGGACAGAAGATCTGTGCCTTTCCATCGTTATTTGGTTAATCACCCTCACTGCTTAAAATTCCTATCTCATTTAAATTTGTGTGCTTCAGCTTCCAGCTGTCGTTATGCTTTATCTCCGGGATTAAGGAGCACTTTAGTACCTGGTATGTCTTCACATGAAGGTATTTATACATGGTAATCAAGTCAACATTCAATCTTCCTTTTCTTAATTAGAGAGAGGCCAGACTCCTCTGGTCTTTCATCTGAAGGTATTTTCTCCGGTTTTCCTGTCATTTTTGTGGCTGTGTGTCACTGCTCCGTTTTCAGGAGGTTTCTGAGGAGCGGCCCCGGGCAGCCTGCTCCCTGCCCCACTCCTCGTGGCAGGCGCAGCCCTTGCCCAGCTTGCTGCCCGCCGGCCCCCAGGCAGAAGCGCTTTGCAGGGCCGTGGCCGTGGGGTGCAGCTGCCAGGGCAGCACGTCCCCCGCGATGGGGCTCTCCCAAAGGCCTCTCGCAGGGTTTCCGTGTCGCTCGTTCCTGGCTCTGGGGCCCCCCGGCCCTGGCTGCTCCTAGCGCCCTGCCAGGCCTTGTGGCATCGACAAATCCGACCCGAGATCTGCGTTTGCTTCGGGATAACTGAGGAGGATCTAGAGTAGAGACAAGTCCAACACCCTGCAGAACCTCTTCAGCGCCGTGTGGACGGCCGCATGCCCCAGGGTCTGCTCTGGCTGCTGCTCTTCCCCTGGAGTTTTGTTCCCCTGGAATGTTCCCGACTGATGCCTCATCCGGCTCCTTTTCCATGTCCTGCAGGACTCAGCCAGGCAGGAGCCCCCGTCAGTACAGCTATCAGCATCAGCCAGGCTTGGGATTTACCAAGGACGGGGATTACGTTTGAGTGGGAAGACCTATTTACTGTAAAGCTTGATGGGGTGATATTAATAATACAGGCATTCTTTAATGCTGTGTCAATTAAATTCCAAATCAATTCCCAGGATCAGTGTTATTCTCCTGACTTGCAGTTTCATGGATTGTTTTACTTGCCCCTTTTTGAACATTGGCCTGACACTGCTTTTCTTAGGGTCTTGTTGAATGTCTCGATATTTCAAAATATATTAAAATGAAACTTTTTTTGGACCAGGAAGATCTTCAGGGAGAAGATAAGGAGGATGATTTACAACATTCACTAGATATAAATAATTTATTCAATCTCAGGTAGCTCATGCCCAAAATCCTTACTTGGTAACAGAAAGGAAAATAATGCATTTCCACAGCAGCAAAGTGAAAAATAAATGATTGGTCATTTTGCTGGCTGGATTTATTAGCAGTTTTAGACTGTCTGCCTGGAGACTGACTGGCTTGCACAGGGGCTGGGAAGTTGCTGCAGTCTTATGAAATCTAAACAGCAGCAGCAAAACCCCTCTCTGATGGTCCCTGGCCAGGCCAAATGTGGATTTCTTTACTCCTGTGTGATTTGTTCCTGTTATTATTCTTCATTCTCTAATCTTCAGTTCATAGTGACCACTGTCATCACTGCCCGCTGTCAGGGTTGTCTCTGTAACTGCCCCTGTCACTTCACTGCTGACCTGGAGGGGCACGGGGCAGCAGCTCTCCTTGATTTATGGAGTTGTAGTTCTGGGTCACACAGAAATTGTTCTTCAGGGCTTCCCAGTCACCTTTTACTTTTTAATTTTACCCCCCTCCCCCCATTTCATATGATTGACTACCTAATCTAATTTCCTGCAGTGATTCCCTTGGGAGGCATCAAATGTTCACCTGGTTAGTTGTGACTCTCTTCTTCCCACGTCATCCCTAGTTGACTAGATAGCAGTCAAATGTTCAGCAGATTTTTATTCCTTACATTGAGATCCAAAGTAGCATTCCCTTATGCTGGAGTGAAACCCTATAGAAAAGTGATCAGGTTTCTCCTTTTTATAATATGAAATTATACTTTATTGCTTGTTGGATGGGACATCCAGCATTTTTGTTCAAGTTGAAGTTGCCTTGATAGTGCAAATGTTGATTTATGCAACTTGGAGATAAACACTCAGCAGTTAATGCTTTTTTTTTTTTTTTTCCAGTTAGTGGTCTGCAACAAAATCTTGTGAAGGACGTTTTAACTTACTGCTTCAGACACTAATCCACAGGCATTCAGAGTCCTGTTCTGAGCAATCAGTGGCCACACAATAGATGATGTGATTTTAATGTAAACTTTTTCTTTGGTCCTCTTTGCCCACTCAGTGCTTTCTCATTCTTGTAACAAGCAGAGAATATCCTTAATATTCTAAAATGGTGTCATCGTCTGTAGATTTCAGTAATGACAATTATATCACAATTCTTATTACCAGTGAAAGCAGTCCACATCCTTTTTCTTGTTATCCAGCCTCCTAGCATTTTGAATTAAGCAAAGAGGAAGAAAAAACAAATCTTCCTCACAGTCTTTGTCAGATGAGCTTAATTACTTCTGACATGGTGCATTTGTGCTGCGTTTCTCTCTTTGGAATCATTTCGCTTGTATTCTTGGCTTAACATCTTCCCAGCCACTCTACCTGTTTCTCAGCCAAGATCATTATCTCACCTCGGTGGAGTGTGGTTCCCCGAGAACCCTCCAGAAGGGGCTGGTGTTCCCCAAACCCAACGTCCTCAGGTTTGTTCCCATTGTGTGTGCAGGCTGGACCCCAGCCCTTGGGCTCGGGCTCGGGGGAGAGTCTGCTGTCTGTCTTAGAACAGCCTTTCTTGGAGATGCTCCTTTGGCCCTGAGCCTCTCACCAATCTTTGTATAAAATATGAGCTGGTGGCCTTACTGAAAGCAAAGAGTAATCATAGAAAATAAAATACCTTTGTCTTTTTTTAACTATTTCACTTCTGGCCATAATAGCAATGAACCCAGGGTTAGGCTAGGAAAGCAAACCCTCTCAGACTCCCTCCTGCACCGCTCTGCTTTGGACGTGGGTGTTTCTGTAGTAACTGCTTGCTCCTCCCAAAGGGTTCCTTGCTGAGGTGCTGATGATGTTGATCATGCTGCTCCTGTTGTGTTGCCCATCTTGGCACTGCTGATCTGAGGGATCCCCTGTTCCCTCCCTGCAGATCCTTCTCCCTGGGCTGCCTCGAGGGCTGGCTCCTGGCTCCAGCTGGTCGCCCCTAAGTGTTCATATTTCAGGTGTTGCACCATGGTGTGATGTGGGCTTCTGATCCCTATCCCCCCTTTGTCACCAGATCACACTTCATCTGCAGGACTGGTTCTTCCTCTCTGTAGAAAGGAGAGTGTCGTGCCTCCAGCTTGGCACGGCTCTTCCACTCGTGCAGCTGGAATAGATCCATGCCCAAAAAGAAGAAACCACATTCGCTATGAAACTCCTCTTTGGCAGTTTTAAATGGACCTGTTCACTAAATGAGAATTTCCTGAGCTGTGGGATGAAGGCCGAAGAGGAGGCGGGGGCCCTGTGTGGCAGAGCGCAACGTTGGGGACCCCGGGGTCCTGTGACAGCACCGGCAGTCAGCCGTCCTGGTACGGTTTGGTGCTGCCCGTGTGCGGCGTTGTGACCATGACACAGTGGAAGGCGAGC